TCTTATTTAACACAGAATTATAAGTTCTTTTACATTCAGTATATTATTAGTATTCTTTTATTTAATGATATCAAATGACTATTTGAGAACTGCTAGCTAAGTTTATAAGATAAAGCTACATACAGTCAGTGCTTTGTAACTATGGGTTTCACATCCAGGGATTCAATTAATTTTGGATTAAAAATTGTGTGACTTCATTGAATACATACAGACGTTTTTCTTGTCATTATTGCCTAAACAATACAGCATAACAATGATTTACACAGCATATACATTGTATTAGGAATTATGACTAATCCAGAGATGATTTAAAGCATGTGGGAAGATGTGCATGCAGAGGTGACACCATTTTACATAAGGGGAGTGAGCATCTGCAGATTTTGGTGTTCACAGGGGGCCCTGCAATGGATCCCCTGGAGTCACTGGAGGACAACTGTATATCTGGTGCACACAAGCAACAAATAAGCTCCAAAAGTGATGAGGAAGGACTTATGTAAAGACAGACTCAGATTCAGGGCAGGTTATAAAAAAAAAAAAAGAAAATGAAGATCAGTTGGAAAGGTACCAAAGTTTACATGGATGTTTATATAAAAAAAAATAGCTTAGTCTAAAATAGTTGTTTTTCCTCCGTGGCTGTACTTAAAAATCACCAGGGAAACCTTAAAAGGCCCTTTGCCTGGGCCCCACCCCCAGCTCCACTGAACAGAACTCTCTGGAAGTTGGTGTTTCATAAATTCCCTGGGAGTCTCAGGCACAGCTGGACTTGGACCCGATGCTCTGAAGGGATCAATGGGCTTCCTAGTATGAGTTATGTGGGGGTGACTTCAAGAAATAGTTATTTTTGCTAATAACAAAGGAGAGACAGCATGCCAGTAGCTTTTCTAAATGTGGCTTCCACCCAGGGGTTATGGCATGCTGCTGTCAACTGCTACAGGAAAAATAAATTGGCAGTGTCATTATTTTGAGAGGCAAGAAGATGCCCTCTGAAAGCAAAATCTATAAAACTGAAGACACAGGGATAGGTAAATGTCACAACAGCAAGAGCAGAGCCAGTGTGAGTGTCCAGGACTTGTGACTATGTGTTAAGGGTGCTGCTCTACATGGATGTGGCACATAGGGACAAGCTCTTACCTATTAAAAATGGCCTGGAGGGATTCCTCAAATCGGCGCAGAACTTTAGGAGGGGCCGGCCACTTCACGTGCTTCCCGTAGTCTCTCATGGTCTTGACGCCCTGGAAGCGCTTGGCCACCTCGTGGATGTAGGACTTGACTTTGTAACGCCGGTAGTACCTGATTATTGTCAGAGCCGCCTTGGTCCTCCTGTACCGCATGCGGGCCAAGGTGCCCCGCCACACCTTCACGATAGAGAAAGAGAGAGGAGAATGTTGCTATCTGGCTGAGCCGTAGGTGACTTTGACATTATAGAAGCTGTTTGTTTCACAAACTCAACTGAGGAACTTGCTGGCCAGTACACAGGGGCCAGAGCCTAACCATGCCAATTCCGTGTGCCACCAACAGGAGGCGCTAGGAACCACGGTGGTCATTTGATAGGTCTCACTATTCTGTGTAAAAGCTTGTGCGGAGTTTCAAAGTGGAGTCTTGTTTTAACTTTATTGTCATGAAAAGAAGAAAACCAAAAAGAAAATATGTGTAGATAAAGATTTTAGGAATGTGGAAAGGAAGCAAGAAGAATCAGAACTGAATGCCAGCTATAGTTCCTTGGTGAAGCTTAACCGTACAGATTACACCGGCCACTAGCTGATATCATTTTGGATTTATAAACTGATTCCAACACAACCTGTGCACCCAGATCCCCAGGTGCGAAGTAAACTCCCAAGAATTTAGTTGTGTTCCTGAGAAAAGGGTGAAACAGATTATCAACATAATAGGATTCTTGTTGTTTTGGGTACTGCGGATTGAAGCTAGGAGTGCTTTACCTCTGAGCCATATCCCTAGCCCTATTTATTTTTATTTTTGAGACAGGGTCTTACCAAATTACTTAGGGCCTTGCTAGTTGCTGAGGCTGGCTTCAAACTTTCAATCCTCCTGCCTCAGCCTCCCAAGTCATGGGATTACAGATGTGCACCACCACACCTGGCCACATGAATGTGCATGAAAAGTTTTTCAGTGTCAGAAATCAGTCAATATGTACGTGTCTCAATGCCAACTTCATCCAAGCATAGTGTTAGAGACACTTCTATTTTGTTCAGAATACTGTGTCCAGGTATCCATTTTCTCAACCTCATGAGCAAAAATAAATTTGATGTGATCTTCATCACTGGCCCCTCTTTATAAATTCTCTCTACCACCAGCAATATTTTCAGTTGGAATCTCTATTCCTTTCTGCTACCAGAGCTTGCACCATCCCAAATATCCTAAGTGCATGCTTACTTGTGTCCACCCCCCATGGTGCTCCAGTTGCACTAACCACCTTAGATAACCATTCCAATTCTTAGGTTGGTGGCATATTCCCCCCTCCTCCCCACCTGAAAGGGCCAAGATTTTCAACCTCTCATTCAAAGCCCACACTATGGGTCCTCCAGACTCCTCTGGGTTTCTTTCTTTCTTCTTAAATCTCCATCTGTGCCTACAAACACGTGCACTGCCTCTTTTATCCAGCTGTTTGGGGAGCGTCTTCACGCAGACCCCCAACGTGCCCCACATGCCTGCGATGGGCTCCCTTTGCAGCCTGCACACAGACAAGATAAATCTCTTTGCAGGTGACGTGGGAGGATCCCAACGGTTCAAGAAAGACCAAAATATATAAGGGAAGCAAGGCGCACGAGCCATTTGTGATGGGGATCCGGAGTTCACATGTAAACAGTTATTTAGAGACAAAGAAGCAGTAAAAGCTCTCTCACGTGGCATCGGCACAGCGGCCCTTTTTAGTCCAAGTGGCTCTCTTTCCTGTCGCTGAATGCACTGTGCAGATGGCTGAGCGCCTCCACCCGAGTGCTCAAATAAGGGACCCTGCTGTAGCATTTTGAGAACCAAGAGAATACAATTAGAGGGTGGGAGTGTGTGATTCAATTTCTTAGATAAAACAACATTTTTTTAAAGTTCATGCTGTTTGTGGTTTTTTTATTTTTATTTTTTTTCAGGGGAAGAAAATTAAGACTCCCGGGAGCCACACTTACATAGAAAAATCAATCCTGAATTTCCAAAGGGCGTTTTAGAGAACTTTTTATTAAAATATTTTGTTAGATTCTTTAATAATTCTTAAAACGTTTTATGAGTAAGTACTCTTTAAGGACAAGTTTCATCTGTTGTTTTTTTTGTTTTGTTTTGTTTTTTACCCCAAGTTTTGTGCAGTTAGAAAAACACAAATAGGACAAAATGCTTAAAATAAAAGGCAGGGTACTTTCCCTCACCCACCTGACCCCACCTCTCCACCTCGCAGTCTCAGTCGACACAGATCATTTCAGCTGCTGCTTCTGGTATTGACTGTCACATTTATAAATAATACACAGAAGTGTTATTTCTTGGTTGATTCCTTTTAGAAACAATCCAAATTAAAGAAGTTGGTGGTTTAGCTCTCTTGCTATCATTTTTACTTCTTCTATCATCCAAATAGTATTTTACATGAAAAATTTAAGTTGATAGTGTTCACGTTACATGGATCAATAATTTTATATATTGAATGAGTAATTCATGTGCATGTATTATATTGCATCATATATTACATTGGTTCATGGCTTTGCTAAGGAGTAGGACTACGATTCCTTTATCAAGTGAATCTGGTTTTACCTATAGTCAAGAAAGTAGAGGCAACTTTTTAAAAATTGGCTTTATCTTCTAGTATACCTACTGCTATTTTTTGCCAAATGCTCTTGAGGACCCACCAAATGACCAGCACAACTTTTCCAACTGGCAGGCACCTTAACTGAAACTGGTGTTTCCTGACTCTCATATACTTTACGCTGTCTGCACAACTCTTCTCCTGGGACTTTTGAAACTCCTTCACACTGGTTTCCTGATTTCTGAGATAATGTCCTTCTCATTCTTCTTCCATCTGTAGCTTCCAAGAAAAGATGAGTGGCCAGTAAATTTCTATTCTCTTTAATTTCCTTGTGAGTACAGAGCAGTTGCCTAAAATGTGTGTCCTGGGGAGAGTAGTTAAGAATGGGCTCTGGACCCAGGCTGTCTGTGTCCAGGTCCTGGCTCTGGTTGTAACTGCTGGGTAGACTTGAGCAAGCTTCTTTACCCCCTGTGCCTTAGATTTATTATCTGCAAAATGGGCATGGTAATGGTGCTTGCCTCACAGTGTCTTGAGGATTAATGGCGTCAATACACACAAGACACTAAAGGAGTGCCATGCTGAGCAAGCACAGGCTACAGTGGCTTCTCAAAAGCCCATTCTTTGTCTTCAGAAGGCTGTGCTACTTTCCTTTTGTATGTGGAATTTTTTTCTTTCCTTGGATCACGTGTCAGTGTGACCTGGAAACTCCTTCCTGCATGTGAGCCATTCTTCCTCAGCCTTCCATCTGCCTCCACATAGTGCTTCACTGGTCTTATTGTATCTACTCTGTACAACGGGCTGCGTCATGGTTTGTAAGCCTTATCTAGTCTTTCAGCTGCCCAAGAGCATGGGGAGAGAGCTGGGGCTTTGGCTCATTGCCATCGAGGTCTTTCCTTCATTCTAAGGAAACAAATGCTTCCTTGAGTTGAAGTCTACCGTGGGTTTTGGCTCGGTGTTCTTCCTCCATGCTCCCTGGAGCTCTTCTTGGGTAAGCTGTAGTAATTATTGCTAGCACATGCTCCCCGCTCATGGATCTTTCAGATACAGGAAAGAGGGTACACCTTGCTGGCTCTTCTTGCTTGGGCAAGAAGTCTTTTCTCTCTCTGCTTCATGCCAACGCCTTCAAAAGCAGCAAGACTTTCCAGAATTCCCTCCTTGTGCTTCTCCATGTTCCATTTTTCTCTTTAAGAACATATTGATTTTCCAGTATCTTTTTTTTTTTTCAACTTGGTCCAGTTTTTCTTTCCCTGGATGACACTTGTCAAAGCTTACAGTATAAAGCTGTATCTTTTTTTTGGCTTCAGGATTGGTGGCATGTTCTTTGTGGTTTTTACATTTGATATTTATTAACTCATACCGTTTTGAGGAAGATAAACTCTGGGAGCCGCCAGTTCTATCACCAACTTTATCAGAAGTCCTCTTAGGCTTTATTTTTTTTTTAACATCAGAGAAAGAGTACCATTGAAAATCTACAGAAGAAAATGATTCTATGGGAAAAAGTGGCTCAGGTATTTTTCTGTATAATCTAAATATATTTGGTTTAAACAGATGATACTACCATAAAAGTTTGTGTGCCCACATGGGGAAGAGTTTTGCTGCTTAACTTGCCAAGGGTCTGCAGGCTGGAATTTAAGATGGAAGACCAATGTTTCCATTCTCCCATTTTATTTCAAGCAGCGTAAACTGTTGGGTATTTCAAGAGCTATCCAAAGCTTACCTCTGTGGAGGATTCTGCCTGGTGACAGGGGTTCAGAAAGCAGAAAATTAAAGGTTTTATTCAATAAACAAATGCTTAATCCTTATTTGCACATGCCTGAGAGGTTCAACAAACAACAAGGAACAGAGAGGGGCCCTTGTTAAAACCCTTGTGAACACTCGAGGTGGAACCAGGCTTTAGGATGTGGTACAGGAGGAGTGGGGGCTGCAGGACGTGTCCTGGTGACAGGGAGCAGAGCCACAGAGGAGGAGCCAGGAGACACTTCTGAAGAGAGGACCAGAGGCCAACAGCTCAGAGGACAGAGCGAGGTCTAACACAGTGCTGGAGCAGCACTGCTGGCCAGATCGCAACACGGCACCAGAGTGACCTTCTAAGACTACAGTCCGATCATGCCACTTCCCCGATCAACACTGCAGTGGCTCTCACTGTCCCTCAAGGCAAAAACCCACAGTCCTTCCGAGGGCTTTCATGGCCCCAGATGACCCGGCACTGTTCTCTCCCTGGCTCGCCCCGGCCACAGTGGCCTCCCTGCTGCACCTGCCCAGGTGTACGTGCTTTATGGGTGGTGGACTTCCCTATAGGGTGATTAGTTGGGGACAGGCCATCTGTGGGGTATCCCAGAATATCAGTATCTTAACGATTTTGTCCTTGCTATCAGAATTCTCAAAGTGAAGAGGGACTGAGGGATGGGTCTCTTCTTCAGCATCGACACTGTCGTATCCTTGGCTTCAGTATGGTGCCTGACTCCTCTTTCACTCAGCTGGTATCCCCAGACAGTAAACTCTGTGCCATCTTTCAGGATGAGACTGAGGTAGCCACTGTGCTTTGTGAGGTCTGGGAGGAGACATGGTGGTCTAATTCTT